ACAAGAAGATGAGTGAAGAGAATCAATACAGTCTGACAAGTATAAGAATGAAACAGAATGGGTAATTGTAGAAGGGAATATGAAAGATTACAGAGACTGAATGCATCTGCGCTGGCCATTGACAACGATTTTGAGCCATGTCACCACCTATTGTCTCCAGCCATTGATTCCTAGAGTCCCGAGGGCCCCAACCCGGAAGTCTGCATCTCCCTCCCTACCTGACTCAGTTTAACTGTCAAGGATTTCATGGATTGATGAGGCCATGTTTTTGTTTGGTCACCACTGGCTCTTTTCCAACCTGCACCTATATCAGCTAGTAATGCCCGTCAGGGAGGGGGAGGCGATGGTTAGGCAGGCATGCGCAGCACGTGACCGACCTAGCCATCTCAATCTATGTAACTTTATAGCCTCGTCGATTGATTTACCCTCTTTGCCCAACACTCTACGCCGAACGTCAACATTACTTAACTTATTAAACCACCTAACGTGAGACAGAGATTGCAGACATCTATGATCAAAAACAGTCGACCTTTTCATGCCTTCAACTCGTATTGGCCATGTTTCAGAGCCATAGAGAAGGACGGAGCGAACTGTTGAGCAGTACACACGTCCCTTGGTTGATAGCCGGAAGTCACGCCTACACACGGGGTATTTAGGAGGGTGGGAGTAAACAGCAAAGTAAAATTATAAAGTAGACAAAATAATTAAGCAGATTCCAAAAAACTTAATAATGAGTTCAACTCATTGAAGCGAAAATCAAAAAACCAAAATTGAGTAGGATGTTATGCGACAGAACATGACATAAAAACAGACGAACATATGAACAATAGAGTCACGGTTAGCAAGGTAGTGAGAGATTAGTCAAGATACCTTTTTGTATACAGAATTTGGATGGAAGTCTTTTGATGTCATAGGCTTCTGGTAATGGAATTAACCCTGAGTTACTCTTTGTATTATTGATTATTTTGAAAGCATGAATAATTTCCACAATATGTCCCGTGTTAATTAGGTGTGTCTGGCAATTGCATTTGACAAGACTTGACTGCCTTTCATATGGAGACTTTTAGGGATACGATAGAAGAATCTAGTAGACTTTCTTTTCTCAGTCCTTCTTATGTAATTGCTGACACCTGTACAGGGGAACTGGAGTTGATATGAACAGAGTAATTACCGATTTTTGAATAAATTAATGAACATGCCGTAATGTAAAGTGGAAAATGGCTGGTAGCGGCGAATGTTCTCCTCAATATTTCTTTGGTTCTTGTGTGTGCATCTTTACCTTTCAACTGTTTCAGTTTGTCGTCTAGGCGAGCTTTTTTTCCCTTCCATATTTCACTATGAACTTTTGAGGTTCCTCATTTTCGATAAGTTCTTATCAATGATTCCGATTTCCCCTTTCAGCCCTATCTTCTGGACATAACATCCCAGTCCTGTGAAAAAGTTTACATTCAGTCCCTGTTTTGTAATCAACTGGGCGAAATTGTGATAATTTGAATAGCGATCTGTTCAAATTTCTTTTCTATGGACAGATTTTTCAATCGTTTCACCATTTTATTTTTTTTTATGTTGAGATCTACAAACTAGGTGGAACTAATTGTCATTTTCATATCACTGTGCATAAAAAAGTATCTTCAGAAAAATTAACGTTTTGTAACTTATATATTTTGATATTGTTGTCTAGTAGGACGTGGACAGTTGAAAAAACAAATCGACGAAATGAAACGAGCTCATACTGTCCTACAAAACTGTGTTGTCCCTGATTACAAATTCCCATTAAAATATTTTCAAAAGAATGGTTACTGAACAAAGAATATGAGTTACCGATAACTTCCTCATCATCAGGTTCTACAGTTATATATCCATCCATGTGAGTCGGTGGCACGGTGGTTAGGACTATTGCCGACGATGCAAATGGTCCGGGGTTTGATCCCTTGCCGACGAACATTTGATATCTACGGTCGGCCTGCAAACTTTGGGCTACCGATATCATATGCTGAAAATTCCATACTTGTACCAAAGATACAGTGTGGAATCAAGCTGTCATCAAATATAAATAAATAAATCCATAACAGTGAATGAATTAGTGTTATGAACAACATTAATGTTGGTGTTTAAATAACATCAAATCAATAATATCAATAGATTACAGTTCAATAGTATTAAAATAACAATAAGCTGAATGTCAGAAAAATTAGCAAAGAATTTATAGTCTCCACTGAAGGCCGACCAGGGTTGTAGGAGGGTCTGGACTTGCTTCTCTTGCACACAAAGCACTAGTTGTTTCACGCGAATTCCCATAACCTCAGCTGTTTGGAGCATGCGGCACCTCTATGGTTTTGGCAATTTATTTGGTACCCGATAGATGGTGATAAATAAGGATTCTTCAACGATGTCTACTTTTATAACGGGTTTGGAACAGGTGGTCTAATATCGAACTGTTGGTGACGATTTTTACTACACATTTACCTAGCCGTACTGGGAGATGTTCTCAATCACGAAAAACCAAGTTCCTAGAACAACGGCCAAGATAAGTCGCTCCACAAGCGCAGTTGAATTGGTAGATACAATTTGAAGTGGCTAGTCTAGTTTAGGTACTTCACCTTTCAGTCGAGGAATCACCATTGGTCGTGTAGAGAATAATACGCGTAGTTCATCAGCATTAAAAGTTCTTTGAACTGATTTTCTTAATTTCCCCGTAATTATCTCACTTGGTGTATCACCCTTGAATTGCAGTCGTATATAGAATGGCTTCTTGTTTAAGGATAGTGAGTAGACATTTTCCGCTTTCTTCGTCGTGTGTTTCTTGAGAAATTTGTCGGGATAACCATTTTCGATCAAAGTATCATATACAATGCTTGATTCATCTTTAATTACTTCTTATGAGCATATAGCTCTAACTAACTCTGTGGCTGAGGGTCTCCACTAAATTTCTTTTATACTTGATAGGAACGAAGCTGTGAAAATGTGTATATTGTCTTGTTCAAGTGCTTTTTCCATGCAAATTTCTTTTTATGCTACCATTGGTTTTCTTGTAAGTAGGACATCCAGGAAGGCAATTCTGTCTTGGGATTCCTCTTTGCAGGTGAATTTCATAGCCGAATGTACTTCATTGAATTCAGTAATTATTGTGCTCCTATCAGAACCATTATCACAAAGGATGAAGGTGTCATCCATATACATATATCGGCAATAAAATGAAAGCTTACTGATAAAGTTGTTGTTTAAAATAGCATTGAATCAATAATAATATCAATAGATTACAGTTCAATAGCATCAACATAACAATACACAGAATGAACAAGAAAGAAACTAAGCAAAATAGTAATTGAAATTCATGAATTTATAGTCTCTACTGAAGGTCGGGGCAGTAGTAGTTGCTGGACTTGCTTCTTTTGCACATAAAGCACTGGTTGTTTCAGGAGAACGGAGATGGCCCCAGCCGTTTGGAGTACGCGGTACCTGAATATTTTTGTCATTTTATTTGATACTTGATAGATGATTATAAATAAGGATTCTTCAATGCTGTCTACCTTCATAACGGGTTTGGAACAGATGGTCTAATATCGAACTGTTGGTGACGGTTTTTACTACACATTTACCTGGCCATGCTGGTAAGTGTTCCCGAAGGAGAAACGACCGATATAACTCTCCCCACCACAAGTGCAGTTGAATTAGTACATACAAGTGGAAGTGGCTAGTCTAGTCTAGGTACTTCATCTTTCGATTGAGGTCGTGTAGAAGATATAACTTGTAGTTTGCCAGCATTAAAGGTTCTTTGAATAGATTTTCTTAACATTTTAGTAATTATTTCACTAGGTTGACGCTCCTAAGTTGTGTCCTTGGTTCATAAAATTTACTTTTGGACTTTGTATAATTGACATTCAACAAAATGTAGTACATTTCTCTAAGGAGACAAAGAAGAAATATCATAATGCAATGATTCACACTTCAGCTCAGACAGCATTATGTCGCAGGATCTACTGTCATTCAGTCTTTTATTTGAAGATCCTCCCTGGATGAAGGAAATATATCATGGAATACACTGTGCTAAAAAATTAACACTGTCACATCTCACTGTATTTACCAATTTGAATGTACGTGTGGACACAAACACATAGGAAGGACACATCGATCTCTGCAAGTAAGGGCTGACTTCAAGGCATATTCCTAAGTAGCTCCAGAAACAAATGGAATCATCAGAACCTATTAACGGTGAGAACAGGAGACCTAGCTCTTCTATTGCGAAACATATTATAGAGACAGGTCATAAAATTGACGTGAACAGACCTTTTAAACCTATCTATAAAACGTGTTTGGGGCTTATCTTAAAGTTTGTAGAAGCCCTAGCTGGCAATTAGAAAGTTCAAGCCACCTTTATGTGTTCAAAAACAATTTGTCATCACATTAAACCTTCCTCGGTAAATTTTGTTTTGATATTAGCCAGGGTAGGTGTACTATTACCTCTGCTATTTGGTTTAGTGGTCTTCAATTTTATTTTGACCTTGAACATGTCCTTTTAACTTGACCCAAGTGGTGAATTTCTCACCTCTTACCTCTTTATTAATTTCACACAAATATACTCCTATGACAAGTCCGTGTGTGGTGGATCAGATTGTTCGAAATGTGTTGCGCAAATACACCATTACATACACGATTCAAGTAAATTACTGTCATTATCATTATAAAAATAAAGATTTGTAGCTCAGGTGGATGACTTGCAATTGATAATGTGTTCTCTGAGCTAGTTGGTTTAGTTGTGCAGCTTGGTTAATATTGGTCTATACATATGTAAAGATGGTTACTCACTCATGAAGTAATTTAAATCATTTCACTTTATGTTAAATATTGCGCGGAAGGGGGATGTTGTACAGCAGGGGGAGGACGAAAGCTCCGCAACTAAACCAACCAGCTCAGATAACATTATTAATTGCATAATCATTATAAGTATTATTAATTATCATTATTAATACAAAATTTCTATTCTTTTATTCCTTCTCTAGGTGTCTTTCTTGCCTGTTGGTTACCATTTTTTTCAATCAATGTCAGCCTTGGATTATGTATCTACCTTGGACCAGATCAATATGGGTTTTGTGAAATGGCTGGTAGTTTGATGTCTTCATGTACATGGCTTGGTTATGTGAATTCAGCACTGAATCCAGTCATTTATACAATATTCAATTTGGAATTTCGTAATGCATTTAAAAAACTTTTACATATCAATTAGAAAAAAAAACACAAACAAAGGGGCGGAGAAAAAACAGCACTCTTTGAGGCGGAGAACAATAAAGGAGAGGATATTGAGAACTGTGAAATCAATATATAACAAAACAATGATATTATATATATATATATACATAATGAATGATCAAGAAATCACAGGGATCCTAAATAACTAACTAACTAACTCACTTACTCACTCACTCACTCACTAATGAATTAACTAACTAACTAACTAAATAATTAATTGATTACCTAACAGATTCCTGTATTTTTTACTTATAATGTATAAGAAACCACAATAATTTGAAATAATGAGTTCTCTTTATGCGTTTAAACAAAACAACAAGAAGACGGAATTTTCAAGTATTCGTTTTGTAGGGATTTTGTGTTTGATTGCATGGAAGATTTCACCATGAGCTGACATCAGTTAGAGAACCACTGGAAAACCTGCCAGGGAGTACTGGACATTTGTTTCGTCCTAGGTTAGGACTCTTCGTCAGTACGCACCCGTTGAGTTTCACACCCAGGACCTTCTGGTCCTGGGTGGCCCTTGAATTCTAACTTCTGTCAATTCACGATGTAAGCGCAATATCTCTTGAAATTAAATCACGCGTAGATAAAGGCTATCCCAGTCCAGAACAAACAAGAAGCCGGTCACTGTTTCTACGGTACTATTAATAAACAAATCAATAATTATAATAGACAAGAAACCTTAACGGTTTCAAGAGTACAAAGCACAACGCTTAACAGAAAGCAAGGTACCGCTATCAGAGCGGAATACCGTTAAAGACAAAATTGCGAACTAGCTGGAATCAGACACGACCGTTCAGGTAAGCAGTCAGTAGAAGAATGAACCCAAGTAAGGCAGGGCATAGAATAGAGAGCGGTTAAGAGATAGACCGAGCATAGGCACAAAGATAGAATTTAATTGGCTACTTAACCAGGTAGGAAAATACAGGTGAAGATCAATAAATAGGATAAACTCGACCGAATAGTACAAAGTAAGACCATGGGTCAGCAAAAATAACAGTTCACAAAATACTCTGATTCGGCCATGAGTTCAACTGTCTGACCAGACGGATCGAGGTAAAAACACATACACACAGTTCATTAAAAAAGGGAGGATAGACACGTTAGGCATGGATAATTGGATTGCAACAACGCTAGGTTGATCCGAGACAGGTTGACTTGATTCAAGGATGGGAATTGAATTAATCTTACACACGATGTCTTCTTCGATGAGTTACTGCATCATCTTCAACCTGCTGTACCCTAGGGGGTCAGTTAACTTTGGGTTCTAGTGGGAAACCGTGACCAGAAGGGGACAGCAGGTTGAAGATAAGCAGTAACTCATTGAAGAAGACATTGCGAAATGGTCGCACTATGTCGTGAATTGCTAGAAGTTAGAATTCATGGACTGACAGTTGGATCGGGTCCCAGTGGCTCAATGGTAACCAGAAGGTCGTGTGTTCGAACCACTGTTATGGGTGCGTACTGATGAAGAGTCCTAAACTAGGACAAAACAGCTGTCCAGTACTCCCAAGACATAATTTGTCTGAACCCTGTGTAATGTTTTTTTGCGCAACACTTATTTCCAACAATCTGATCACACACGGACTTGTTATAAGAATATTTATACATGAAAATAATAAATAGTTAAGAGGTCAAACAGCAGACATAGGTCGATTTCAAAGGACATACTGAAGGTCAAAATAACAATGCTTCTTTAAATGACATCACTCCGGGGTCAAACTCGTAAAACCAAATGTAATCCTTAGAAACCAACTCTTAAAAACTAATCTGATGCTCTCTAATGACTACTGGCTACAGGATGGACAGAGTTTCCTGGAGTTCTGGTGACAGGTCATGACCAGTGAGGTTCATCCGGTCAAGTGTAAGGATGGAGTGTTTAACTACGAAATTGGTCGGTGACCACGGTAAAGTCACGGATTGGTAGAAGTCATTGAATCAGGCGGTCCCAGTGGCTGAATGTTATACAAGCTTGCCTTGTAACCGGAAGGTGCTGGTTTGGAACCCCTGTGTTAAATGGGTGCTGCCAATGAATCTGGAACTACGACGAAACAGCCGTCCAGTACTCCCTGGTGGGTTTTCAATGGTTCTCAAACTGATATCAATCCATGGTCACACTCGTAAAAACAAATCTAATCTTTTCAACTCTTGAAAACAGAAAATCAACAAACCAAATAACAGAGGTAGTAGTACATCTGCTATGGTGTCAAAACAAAGTTCACCAAAGAAGGTTTAATTTGGTAACGAATATGGCTTAAATTCTTTAATTGCCTGCTAAAGCTTCCACAAGCCTTCAGACATGTCCCAAACACGTTTCATGAATGGGTTTAAAAGATGTGTGTAAAGATCAATTTTATTTTTATGCGATAAAAGAGCTAAGTTATTTGTTCTCAAAATCAATCGATGATTTTAGGGGATTCCATTAGCTTCTCAAGCCACTTAGGAATATACTGTAAAGCCCTTACTGACAAAGAGCTATGAATCCTGTCTATATATGTATAAATTGGTAAATACAGTGGAATATGGCGTCACGTTTTTTAAACTTGCCCTAAATCTGTTCTCTCACCCCTTAACTCTTCATTGTTTTCATATATAGATATTCTTACGACAAGTGCGTGTGTGATAGGATTGTTCGAAATGAGTGTTCCATAAATACAATATTACACGATTCAGACAAATGACGTCTTTTTATTGCGTTGTCTGAATAATTAATTTTCAAGTACTAGTCAGAAAGGATTTGATTGGTGGTGGCAGGATTTTATTATGAACCAGTGTCCGTTGAAGAACCATTTGAAAACCTGGCTTTATGGTCTATCAGCTCACCTGGTAACTGAAAGGTCCTAGGTTCGAGCCTCAGTGGGTGCGTACTGCTGGAGAGTTTCTGACTAGATCGAAACAACGTCAGACTAGTAATCTGCCGCCACTGGTTACAATCCTACCAAGATTTACATTCTCATTTCACACTTAATTGCCATGCCGTAGAAGACCACCCAATTACTACCCTCTGGAACATACTCACCATCAAATGACGTCAATCGACACAGATTAAATTTGTAGATTCAATCCATGTCTAGCAGGGACAGGAAATGTTTACAGCCGAAGAGTGCTTCCGCCCATAATACCCACATCTGTAGCTCGCCTGACATTTGATATTCTTCATTTCAATCTACCGACCACGTCACATAGTGTAAGCCAACCCAAACCACACCACAATCATTGTTTCCGAAAACAAATCCTCCACATATAGTGAGGATTACACACAATAATTGACTTCAATAAGCAACACAGGATATTACGCTTCCTTCATTCAACGGATGATCAGTGTTGTCTTCTATTCTGCAAGAAGCAAAGTCCGGAGGTCAGTAGAGTAAGTGCCAAGTGATTATAAATACCTTAGCCCAAGCTTCACATTCCACATTTCGCTGATAGTCAGCATCAAATAGCATAAATAGCTGGTCTATAAAAGAACTGAGATTTATCGTATTATGTATGTGTTCAGATAGACACATAGAGATAAGCAGATTGTTTGTGTTTCCAAACTTGTCCAGATGTTTACAGAATTCACACCGCGATGGAGAAATCTACCATGGTTACGTATTGAGATTAGTAGTACTCAAAATGTTTCAATTTTGAGGTGATTAACAAAATGAGTGCCATATATACTACTCAGTAAGATTTAAGTAGTTGAAAACCAACTGCGTAAAACTGAACATACAGTAGTATCAGAAAAAGGGGTAAATAGCGAAAAATGCCCATTACATTTCCATTTTCATCTACATATTTGTTAAGTGACAGGTTTTAGTTAGTTTGTTCCCATAGTTTCTGGTTGCTTATTCTTTCCGTCCACTTGATCTTCAGTATACAGCGATGTCACCTGTTTATTAAAGTCTGTCTCTAGCTGTTGGAAGGGCTTATCCTGATGCGCATTGCATTGACCCACATAAAAGAACTAACTTCACTTGTATGCTGAAAATTCGAATCTTGTTATTTGTGCTGAGGCGGAGTGCAGGTTGATGAAGGCGTATCTTGCCTTTTCCATTCCGGCTGGTTTTGACATTTTCATTTGCTTCGCCTGTTGTTGAAATAATGCTCCCTAGGTAGGTGAAGAAGTCGCCTCTTTCAGAATTCCACCGGTGATAGTGATTTGGAGCATATTGATCGGTTGATCGGTTATCTACATCACTTCCATCTTCTCTATATTCTCCTGAATTCCTGTCTTCCATGCGTGAATCTTCTGCCAAATTGTTGGTTTCCGCCTGTGAGTTTGTGTGTCTTCGAGTTTGTGTGACATTAGACATAAGTTATCCACAGGTGAAATCCATATCTTCTAGAGTCTTCTTGTTGGTCCAACGTATACCTGTCTTGTCGTTCCCCACAGTCTTCCGCGTAATCCAGTCGACCACAATAAGGAATATCATCGAGATAGTAGGTAGGCAACCTTTACTTACTCATGCGTTCACTTCAAATGCCTGGCTAAGTTTTCCGCTTTGAATCATCCGGCACGTGCAACTGTCATACAGCCGACTGGTGAAAAAGGATGACAAAGATTTGGATCACTGAACGCCATAATGTCGAAATAGTTTCTAAATTACTTTGCAGCTAACACTGTCGGTGAGATTGAGGTAGAGGTTTGACTGCCATCGTACCCTCTGTTCAATGATGACGAGGATGTGTAGATTTGCAATTCGACCACCACATGGCTTGCCTCTCCTGAATTTAACTTGTTCCGGTGGGTGGAGTTCTGCATCCAGTGTATCTTTTACTCTCTCGAAGATGACGCCACTTAGTATTTTACTCGGCACGGACAAGAGCATTATTCCACACCAGGTTTTGCAGATTGAGGTGTAAGTCGCCCCTCTTCGGTAGCTTGACAAGATAAAATTTCTTCCAATTAGCAAGCACGTTTGAAGGTAACTGGAGCCCAACATTTATTTATTGGTCTATAATAATCCACCCTGAAAGACTTCTCAAATTATTTTTTCTGAAATAATGTCCACAATTTATAAACAGAGCTAACTCTGAATAAGGCATTCAGAAGACAAATTTCGTGAGATGATATCGTCATTTCGTAGTTTCTTTACAGCCACTTTACAACTAACATGGTTAAGAATAATAAAGTAAAATAAAGTTCATGAAAATTACTCAGTTAAATAAAAAAACAACAAAAGTACATACTATGCTAATGACCAATCATATTTAGATAGGTCATGTAGTCACTTCATGGTAGGCGAAGATTGAAGTCTATTGATTTTTGTACACACAGT